GGTAATGGCAGTATTTAAGTCTCCGCACTGTCGCTTGATCTTCAGATAGTTCCTGACTATGGAACTGAACTTCTCCAGGCCGAGGGACTGACAACCTCAAATTCTACGACTTTAAGGGTGATGGACTGATTACATCGTCTTCACATCTCTACTGTTCCTGCCTACTTTCTGTATTCGACTGAAGAAGCCTACTGTGTAGGCGAAACGTTTCGGAATAAAGTTGTCTAACTGTTGCATATGTGTCTTACCTAACAACTTGTCGGTATTGTATACCATTTTGATGTTCATCTTGTCAGACACTGCAACACGTGGCATCTTGGTACAGAAAACACCTTGGACAAGCTTTTCAAGTGAGAAGGGTTGGATCTGAGAGGGACATGACCTCTCAGTTGCCTCTCACTACTACTACTACTACTACTACTATTACTACCCTGCACCTCTCCTTCCGACAGTATTTAAGTCTCCGCACTGTCGCTTGATCTTCAGATAGTTCCTGACTATGGAACTGAACTTCTCCAGGCCGAGGGACTGACAACCTCAAATTCTACGACTTTAAGGGTGATGGACTGATTACATCGTCTTCACATCTCTACTGTTCCTGCCTACTTTCTGTATTCGACTGAAGAAGCCTACTGTGTAGGCGAAACGTTTCGGAATAAAGTTGTCTAACTGTTGCATATGTGTCTTACCTAACAACTTGTCGGTATTGTATACCATTTTGATGTTCATCTTGTCAGACACTGCAACACGTGGCATCTTGGTACAGAAAACACCTTGGACAAGCTTTTCAAGTGAGAAGGGTTGGATCTGAGAGGGACATGACCTCTCAGTTGCCTCTCACTACTACTACTACTACTATTACTACCCTGCACCTCTCCTTCCGACAGTATTTAAGTCTCCGCACTGTCGCTTGATCTTCAGATAGTTCCTGACTATGGAACTGAACTTCTCCAGGCCGAGGGACTGACAACCTCAAATTCTACGACTTTAAGGGTGATGGACTGATTACATCGTCTTCACATCTCTACTGTTCCTGCCTACTTTCTGTATTCGACTGAAGAAGCCTACTGTGTAGGCGAAACGTTTCGGAATAAAGTTGTCTAACTGTTGCATATGTGTCTTACCTAACAACTTGTCGGTATTGTATACCATTTTGATGTTCATCAAATGTCACATTAGTTGCACTTGTGTCCTTTTACTTTACATATTGTCGGTAATTCTACCAACTTTATTACAACTCTTGGGTATCTTTATTGAGGAAACGTTTCGCCACGCAGTGGCTTCATCAGTCCATACAAAGGAGAATCTTGAAGAACATGAGGAGAATGAAGTAATCAGTCCCTCAACCTTGAGTCGATGTGGTCAGTCCATCAATCTTGAACAGAATACAGCATATGTGCGGAGAAGTAGCTTATATACCGTAGGCAGGAGAGGTGCAGCAGTCGTAGGTGGTGTCACATTTATCCAATGTAGTAGGAGGTCGTGCCCAAGGGTTAGGCAAGCGAAGAAGTCCCAAGTATTAAGATCCCAACAAGTTGTAGTGTCAAGACACTGCAACCAACCCTCCTGTTCTGCAAGTTTCTCCTTAGTATGGACTGATAGAGCCACTGTGTGACGAAACGTTTCCTCAATAAAGATACCCAAGAGTTGCACATGTGTCCAATTTATCAACGTGTCGGTTCCCTGAACCATTCATCTACAATCAAGGAACCACTCATCAAAGAACACGTTTACAGTTGTATCCAGAGAAGGACATAAGGCAAGGTGAACCAGCGTACACAATGTTACTTATCAATCTGAGGAAACTACTATAAATATCGTTGTGTACGAAATGGTATATAATACCGACAAGATGAGAGTAAGACACATGTGCAACATCTGGGTATCTTTATTGTAGATACGAAATGGTATATAATATACCCAGATGTTGCACATGTGTCTTACTACTATAAATATCTTAAGCAAGTCACTCTCAACAATTTCCACATATTTCTTAAGTTATTTCCTCCTTCACAACTTCACCCATAAAACACCACAATAATCTTCCTCCTTTCCAACGGAAGCACTTTCTTACCTAAATTATTAAATCACTTTCTTACCTAAATTATTAAAACACTTTCTTACCTAAATTATTAAAGCACTTTCTTACCTAAATTATTAAAGCACCTTCTTACCTAAATTATTAAATCACTTTCTTACCTAAATTATTAAAACACTTTCTTACCTAAATTATTAAAACACTTTCTTATCTAAATTATTAAAACACTTTCTTACCTAAATTATTAAAGCACTTTCTTACCTAAATTATTAAAGCACCTTCTTACCTAAATTATTAAAGCACCTTCTTACCTAAATTATTAAAGCACCTTCTTACCTAAATTATTAAAGCACCTTCTTACCTAAATTATTAAAGCACCTTCTTACCTAAATTATTAAAGCACTTTCTTACCTAAATTATTAAAGCACCTTCTTACCTAAATTATTAAAGCACCTTCTTACCTAAATTATTAAAGCACCTTCTTACCTAAATTATTAAAGCACCTTCTTACCTAAATTATTAAAGCACCTTCTTACCTAAATTATTAAAGCACTTTCTTACCTAAATTATTAAAGCACCTTCTTACCTAAATTATTAAAGCACCTTCTTACCTAAATTATTAAAGCACCTTCTTACCTAAATTATTAAAGCACTTTCTTACCTAAATTATTAAAGCACTTTCTTTCCTAATCATTATCAATATTTCCCCTAAAAGATTATCAATATTTTTCTTAAAAAAAAAAATGTCAATACTTTTATGAAAAGAATAACAATTATTATTATTATTATTATTATTATTATTATTATTATAGTCAAGAGGGAAGCACTAAGTTCTTACTTGAGAAGATAAGGAGGAACACTGCAGCAGGCCTACTGGCCCATACTAGGCAGGTCCTTCTCAAAACAAAATTAACTATTTATCTACATTTAATAACCTTGTTCACTCATGCAAGCAACTCTCATTTATATTCATGGGTAAGCACTAAACCCTTATGTTGAAAATAGTATAAAATACCATTAAGTCGATAAATAAAATGTGTGGAATTGTTCGGTATCTATAGTTACCCAAGAGTTGAACATTAAAATGGTATAAAATACCGACAGGTTGTTAGGTAAGACATATGCAACAGTTAGGTATAAAGATACCAAACTGTTGCATATGTGTCTTACCTACCCAAGAGTTGCACATGTAAATGAGGCTTGTGTAACATTTGGGTATCTGTTCTAGAAACTTCTGGGGAAGATCAGTTAAATTCACTGGAACGAACAAGAACAATATGCAGACCAACCACGGGGGGAGTTGAATGACAGCTCTAGGCCTTTCGTGTTCCAATCAGCACAGCAGGAGTCTACAATGTTGCATGAAAGTGGTGGTGGTGGTGGTCCAAGCAGATACAATCAAAGGAAACGTCTTTGCAAGGGTGCTTGATCCACCACCTCTTCTGCAACAATGCAAGCTCCTGATGTGTTGATTTGCAACACGATGGGCCTAGAGCTATAATTCAACTCCCCCCCCGTGGTTGTTTTTCAAGAACAGACACAATACCGGTCTGGAGTTTTATGATTGACCGCGAGTTCTACCCCAGTCCGTAGTACTTTTTTATGATTCAAGACGGACCGAAAGGTCGTCGTAAGTTTATCTGTGTACTGTATATTAAGTTGAAGATTGAGACACTTATGCAGCATATGGGAATCTTTATTCAGGAAACGTTTCGCCACACAGTGGCTTCATCAGTCCAATACAAAGAGGCGTAAGGAGAGGAGGAGAATGAGGTAATCAGTCCCTCAACCTGGAGTCGATGTGTTCAGTCCATCAATCTTGTAGAATGTACAGCATAGGGCCGTAGACGTGGCTTATATACTGTAGTGAGGTGACGTGAAGCAGATGGAGGCGGGGTCATAGTGGTACCATCCACTAGTCGAAGTAGGTCTTCGTCCAAAGGTTGAACAAGTGTTGAAGAATTCTTTGTAACAAGACCCCATGATGCTGCCGTGTCTGACAGTTGTGACGAATGGTTTGAAAAACCGACAAGTTGAAGATTGAGACACTTATGCAGCATATGGGAATCTTTATTCAGGAAACGTTTCGCCACACAGTGGCTTCATCAGTCCAATACAAAGAGGCGTAAGGAGAGGAGGAGAATGAGGTAATCAGTCCCTCAACCTGGAGTCGATGTGTTCAGTCCATCAATCTTGTAGAATGTACAGCATAGGGCCGTAGACGTGGCTTATATACTGTAGTGAGGTGACGTGAAGCAGATGGAGGCGGGGTCATAGTGGTACCATCCACTAGTCGAAGTAGGTCTTCGTCCAAAGGTTGAACAAGTGTTGAAGAATTCCTCTCCTTACGCCTCTTTGTATTGGACTGATGAAGCCACTGTGTGGCGAAACGTTTCCTGAATAAAGATTCCCATATGCTGCATAAGTGTCTCAATCTTCAACTTGTCGGTTTTTCAAACCATTCGTCACAACTGTCAGACACGGCAGCATCATGGGGTCTTGTTACAAAGAATTCTTCAACACTTGTTCAACCTTTGGACGAAGACCTACTTCGACTAGTGGATGGTACCACTATGACCCCGCCTCCATCTGCTTCACGTCACCTCACTACAGTATATAAGCCACGTCTACGGCCCTATGCTGTACATTCTACAAGATTGATGGACTGAACACATCGACTCCAGGTTGAGGGACTGATTACCTCATTCTCCTCCTCTCCTTACGCCTCTTTGTATTGGACTGATGAAGCCACTGTGTGGCGAAACGTTTCCTGAATAAAGATTCCCATATGCTGCATAAGTGTCTCAATCTTCAACTTGTCGGTTTTTCAAACCATTCGTCACAACTGTATATTAATTTGATCAAGAGCCCTCCACCCGCATCAAGGCGAAACGTTTCGGAATAAGGATGTTGCATATATGTCTTATCAACCCCCCATGAAGACCGTCTGCAGCTGACTCACCTGTCTTGTACGCTGTTGCTGTGGGGTATGCTGGGCATGTTGGGCATAAATATGAGACCACATTGTTTGCGGGCGCAGACCTCAGCTGACCCATACACCATGACCAGGGCACCCACCGCCCCACGGCCGCCCACGCTGGATGCTGCCACTCGCGCCGCCCCGACACTGTGATGGGTGAGTGTCGGCACTCCAGAGTGAAGCCGAGTGTCACTTAGGTGCTCTGATCTGTCTGAGAATCTGGTGTGTGGGTCGCCCATGGGGTGAGTGCGGGTGGTAATGGTGGTATGGGCGGTGAGACCATAATGTGGGTCCTGGGTTCGTAGTGGGTCGGGGAAGCTCATCGTGTGCGTGTAAGCTTCACCAAGCTTTGATCTCACTAAGCTTATCAAAATAGATGGTCTGGTCTTCCAACGGCTTCCCGTATCAGTGAGAACCTCTTTTGCTGGACAGTTCTTGTTAAATATAACAGCAATTAAACTAATAATACTATATAGACTAGCGGACGGAAGTAACGAATATTTCCCCACAGCACTACACGTTGTTGATGTAAAATACGGGAGCGCAACACCACGCACATCCGACCTTCACCAGTGTACAACCCGCACTGATGCCTTCTCATGTCAACTTTCCTGATGAAGCTTGGCAACTCACCCCCAAGTTGCCAAGTAATCCCTAAAGTAATAAACTAATTATCAACAATAAGGCTTAGTTTGTTAAGTAACTGAATGAAAAAAAAGGTTTAAAATAGCTGGTTAGTGAAGGTTTTTGATGGGAATGTATTAAGGGAGAAGCGTAGAAAGACAGGGCAAGCATCGCCGTGACGTCAGAGATCAGCTGTGCAGCCCCAGCATGATGCAACAACAGTATCCGGTAACACCATTCTGACATACATACTCTTCTCACACTTACCCATTCTCAGTACTCGTGAATAATGAACATGTGGCTTATGGGGAAGAAGACAGATACAGTTCAGGGCATTTCTCCACTCGTGGCAAATTAGGATGGAAGAAGCCATTAGTGGCGAAACGCTTCCTCTACCACATCAGTTCCTGACCTTCCTCAACCGAAATATTAGATATATGGACACAGATGCCACTAATGTGGCAAAGTTTCGCTCTCCAGGGGCTTGACAAAGTTCCTGGAGCGCTAAGACCTTGAGTAGCTTTAAAAAGAGACTGAACACACTCCTGAAGACAGCCTTGGTGACAGACGAAATGTTAGGTATATGGATACTCATGTAAAGTAAAAGGACACAAGTGCAACTAATGTGACATTTATTGTGGCAACGTTTCGCTCTCCAGGAGCTTTATCAAGCTTGATAAAGCTCCTGGAGAGCGAAACGTTGCCACAATAAATGTCACATTAGTTGCACTTGTGTCCTTTTACTTTACATATTGTCGGTAATTCTACCAACTTTATTACAATGGATACTCATGCGGGAACACTGCTGGAGGCCTACTGGTCCAAAGAAGGCAGGGCCTTATCAAAATCACCCACGCATTTGGCCAACATCTTCCCAAAGGTACCCAAGGCTTTACTCCCGTACCCCAGACACCAGTCAAACCCAGCCCTTCCCACTCAAAAGAATGGAGGAATACTGCAGAAGGCCTACTGCCTTGTATGAGCCAGTAGGCTCATACAAGGCAGGGAGCCAAACCATACCCCGGCTGGGATTGAACCCGCGGTCAGAGACTCTCTGACCGCGGGTTCAATCCCAGCCGGGGTATGGTTTGTTTGCAATCGTGTCATTACGATTTCGTGAGTCAGGGAGCCAAGGCCGGGCCACCGCTTGGAAGGGGCCCGGGCCGGGAGAATACCGGCCAATCTTTAATAACAATAACACCCCAGGTAGACATGTTTGTGTGTGGAGACGATGTAATCAGTCCATCACCCTTAAAGTTTTGAGGTGGTCAGTCCCTCAGTCTGGAGAAGAGCATTGTTCCAAAGTATGAAACAATATTGTTTCATACTATGGAACAATGCTCTTCTCCAGACTGAGGGACTGACCACCTCAAAACTTTAAGGGTGATGGACTGATTACATCGTCTTCAAGTATCTTCTGCTTCTATCAACTTTTCTGTACTTGACTGAAGAAGCTTACTTTGTAGGCGAAACGTTTCATAATAAAGATACCTAACTGTTGCATATGTGTCTTGCCTAACAACCTGTCGGTATTTTATACCATTTTAATGTTCAGATATGTTTGTGACTTGAAAAAGCCCACTGTAGGTGAAACGTTGTCAATAAAGGATCACATTATACTGCATATGTGGTATAAACCTTGGTAATAAATACCGACAATACTGCATATGTGTTTATATTTCCAGTTTTCCTTATGCGTGGGTGAGACTCCGGACTCTCATGCGGGTTTTCCCAACTCGGTGGGCAAGATCAGAGTGCCCAGGGTAATAACCCTGATGAATAAGACCGTTGCAACATCCGGGTATCTTCACTGCACAAACGTTTCTCCTGGAAACGTTTCAACAATAAACACACCTAACTGCTGCACGTATGTCTTAGTTTACACCACAATATCTTAAGTATCTGTAATAAAGTTGGTAGAATTACCGACAATATGTAAAGTAAAAGGACAAAAGTGCAACTAATATGACATTTTATTGTGGCAACGTTTCGCTCTCCAGGAGCTTTGTCAAGCTGTTACAAACAGCCTATATATACCCTCTGTGTCCATGTACTGTTTGTAATGGCTTGACAAAGCTCCTGGAGAGCGAAACGTTGCCACAATAAAATGTCACATTAGTTGCACTTGTGTCCTTTTACTTTACATATTAAGTATTTGCTTACGTACTTTTTATCCACGTCCAGTTTTCTCGGAGGCAGCTAGGACTGGCTTCTGTTAAATATTTGTAGATAAGCATTTCCCGAACCAGACCTGAATTATACAAACAGTTCCCTTCCTAGGATACAGCTACGTGACTATCTCGCTCAGAAAACTACAGTTCTCCAGTCATATAACTTTCACACTCGTGTTTTGAATTTCAATGTTGCCCTGGTAAAGAGTGGCTACTACAAGGTACTCTTCTTATTTGATAAATTAGACACATGTGCAACTCTTGGACTGATGGACTGAATTATACAAACAGTTCCCTTCCTAGGATACAGCTACGTGACTATCTCGCTCAGAAAACTACAGTTCTCCAGTCATATAACTTTCACACTCATGTTTTGAATTTCAATGTTGCCCTGGTAAAGAGTGGCTACTACAAGGTACTCTTCTTATTTGATAAATTAGACACATGTGCAACTCTTGGACTGATGGACTGAATTATACAAACAGTTCCTTTCCTAGGATACAGCTACGTGACTGACTATGGAACTGAACTTCTCCAGGCCGAGGGACTGACAACCTTAAATTCTACGACTACAAGGGTGATGGACTGATTACATCGTCTTCACATCTCTACTGTTCCTGCCTATTTTCTGTATTCGACTGAAGAAGCCTACTGTGTAGGCGAAACGTTTCGGAATAAAGTTGTCTAACTGTTGCATATGTGTCTTACCTAACAACCTGTCGGTATTGTATACCATTTTGATGTTCAGCTACGTGACTATTTCGCTTAGAAAACTACAGTTCTCCAGTCATATAACTTTCACACTCGTGTTTTGAATTTCAATGTTGCCCTGGTAAAGAGTGGCTACTACAAGGTACTCTTCTTATTTGATAAATTAGACACATGTGCAACTCTTGGACTGATGGACTGACCACATCGACTCAAGGTTGAGGGACTGATCACCTCATTCTCCTCCTGTTCTTCAAGTTTCTCCTTTATATGGACTGTTAGGTAAGACACATATGCAACAGTTAGGTATCTTTATTTCGAAACGTTTCGCCTACACAGTAGGCTTCTTCAGTCGAGTACAGAAAAGTTGATAGAAGCAGAAGAGACTTGAAGACGATGTAATCAGTCCATCACCCTTAAAGTTTTGAGGTGGTCAGTCCCTCAGTCTGGAGAAGAGCATTGTTCCAAAGTCTGAAACAATATGGAGTTGAAGTGACAGGATGGAGCCTTATATAGCGCCTGATATCAACTTCGACAACCTCTACTAGTGAGAACGGCTGGATTTGAGAGGGACCTGACCTCCCAACATCTGCGTTCTACTAGTGACCTACGTCTCACCTCCTGGCGCTATATAAGGCTCCATCCTGTCACTTCAACTCCATATTGTTTCAGACTATGGAACAATGCTCTTCTCCAGACTGAGGGACTGATTACATCGTCTTCAAGTATCTTCTGCTTCTATCAACTTTTCTGTACTCGACTGAAGAAGCCTACTGTGTAGGCGAAACGTTTCGAAATAAAGATACCTAACTGTTGCATATGTGTCTTACCCAACAATCTGTCGGTATTTTATACCATTTTAATGTTCATTCTGTCAGACACTGCAACACAAGGGTATCTTGGTACAGACCATCAACTTCGACAATCTCTACTAGTGAGAACGGCTGGGTTTGAGAGGGACCTGCCCTCCCAACGCAACCTACGTCTCACCTCCTTGCACTATAAAGGGCTCCATCCTGTCACTTCAACTTCATATTGTTTCAGACAACGGAACAATGCTCTTCTCCAGACTGAGGGACTGACCACCTCAAAACTTTAAGGGTGATGGACTGATTACATCGTCTTCAAGTATCTTCTGCTTCTATCAACTTTTCTGTACTCGACTGAAGAAGCCTACTGTGTAGGCGAAACGTTTCGAAATAAAGATACCTAACTGTTGCATATGTGTCTTACCCAACAATCTCCCCACCTACAGCCTCCTCACAGCGAGAGACAGACTGCACCTCACTGCTAGAAGCCTCATTCCCCACAACTCCAGCCACCTCACACTCTCTCCCAGACCCATTAAGGTGGACCTTCAGCCTCCTAATCTCCTCCTGAAGAAGCAAGACCTCCTCCTTCAACTCTTCAATCTCAATTTTTAAAACACTGCAGAAGCAAGCCATGCTTTGTAACCGTCCACGCTAATCCCCAAAGCAGTTCAGGGTCTGTGACCTCACGTGACTACTGACCACTGATCTCCCTCCTCAAATACCTTAGTGAAAAAAGTTAATAAATTCGTAAGGCAGGAACGCCCCTTTGTAAAACCATGCTGAGATTAGAACATAAGAACGAAGGAACACTGCAGCAGGCCTACTGGCCCATGCGAGGCAGGTCCAAGTCTCCTACCGGCTTAAGCCAATGCACCCAACCTAGTCAGGTCAGATCACATTGACTTAAGGGAGGAACATGCAACCGACCTGGTAGCACAAGCTATCAGGTCCAACTCACCCACCCACATCCACTCATGTATTTATCCAACCTATTTTTAAAGCTACACAACGTTCTGGCCTCTATAACGGTACTTGGGAGTTTGTTCCACTCATCCACAACTCTATTACCAAACCAGTACTTTCCTATATCCTTCCTGAATCTGAATTTTTCCAACTTAAAACCATTGCTGCGAGTCCTGTCTAGGCTAGATATTTTCAGCACACTATTTACATCCCCTTTATTTATTCCTGTCTTCCATTTATACACCTCAATCATATCCCCCCTAATTCTACGTCTTTCTAGAAAATGCAGATTCAGGGCCCTTAGTCTATCCTCAAAGGGAAGG